TGACAAATTTCATGGAAATTTCTCAAGCAGACCGGCTGATAGACACACAGACTGATAGAAAGACAAGCTAATCATAAGAGAGTAAGTTCTTGTAGCTCATACTCGCTATTGCTTACGTCCGCATTTACTTATCGTGCCCTGCGTCACAAGAGCTGCATCGTATAAAAAATGTTTCAACAAATCGATCTTTTGTGCACGTGTGCCTCGTTGCATTTTATGTTAAAGTGATTTTTAATACATGCATGAATTAATTATGTACAGCGTCAGTGTCTGAAACTGAACGACATTTTCATAAGATTTCATGAGTACAAGATTACGTACAGACATACGAGCTGCCAGATTTTGGCTGCAGCTTTCCTAAGATCTATGTTTTGATCACCTACTGCTATATTTATAATTTATTTGTTAAAAATTCATGTTTAATCATCTGTCTTCATTGGTAACGTACGGCAATCGAATAATTATCAAGAGCTCTTTCAAACAAGGATGAAAATGCTACGAATCCTTCCACGACATGGTTCACAGGCTCACAGCCAGTGATCGGTATGTTGGATCGAAAGGAGCTAAAGGACCCACTATTTAAGACAGAGATCCATTGAGGAGATTTTCATAGCATTTCAGAAAAGTAACCGCAGCTATCACATTTGATTCTTTAATACTAAATGTTAATCTAATCCTTAAACGCAGGGCGATCCAACTGCGATCGTATGTTTAAAATCTCGTATCTCTTTATGTTTTTAAAAAATTTATTCAAAATTTTTTTATAAAATCAGAGAGAAAGAATTACCAGTGCTTTGAAGAGACGAGACCCTCTTTAGAAAGAAAGAAGCATAAAGTAGATATAAGTTCCTATCAGAGATTGATTAGCATAACATTTCCTGAATGCAGATTCCAAACAGCCTAAGTCGTCTGATTCGGTTAACTTTTCATTAAAATCGAGTAAAACCTAAAGTCAGGGTTTTTTTTAACACGGAGGAAATACAAACTGCCAAGTCTCTTAAGATGGACTCTGACAAGTCACAATTATTGCATTGGTAAACTTAAACTTGAAAAAGTTGCATCGTTTCTTGACTTGGGCGTTTTGCAACATTCAAAATTGTGATATGATCCTTATATTCATACGCGTCTTAATGGGAAAATGGGATCCCTGTAGGGTTATAGAATCTGGATATAGAATCTCTACAAAGGCCAATCCCCCCACGCCACGGAGACATGGTTGGGATTCTCTGCTATCCCTCCGGCTCTACGTTGATCTACCTAGCCAGATATTTCATTCGTACATAAACCTTTGAAAGCTACGGAAGGTTCATCAACTTTTTTAAACGAAACCAATATTCCAAGTGTTCCGCCACGTGTAACATGCAATTATAAGGGAATATTCTTGTGCCCCTACAGAAGTCATTATTAGTTATTTATGTCGATTCGACGCGGCTAGAAAAATTACAGAGAGCGTTCCTCGCTCTCCTGTGTTCCAATACATTGATCGTATATGTCATCGGCACGGTGCGTACTGACCTTTTTCTTAAAACTCTTATCGGCTCAATTAGTAAGCGGCTGCTGTTATCAGCTAAACAATGAAATCTTAATTTTTTATCGCATCACTTCTAAGAAATATTAATTAATTGCCAGATATATGATAATTAAGCAGTAATAAGTAAATAAACAACCACATATGCAGTTACTTAGAATTAAATCGCTTGTTAGCACTTCAAATACCATAACGGTAAGAATTTATTTAAATCCTTAATGCCGAGGTTTGTTTAATTCGACCGAACTTGTGTTGTAGCTGCATTCTATACACATAAATGATATGAAAGTAAAAAAAATGCTTCTAATAATTAATTTTCTGGTAGGAGTTTTTTGATATTCAAGGGAAGCGGGGAATGCTGCCTGGTGACGCTAATGCCTTTGTTAATAGGAATATTTTTAACTTGATAGTAAAGACTTAACTACATTTTTTTTTTTTTTATTAGATGTTGATATACGTAGAAGAATTATGACAAATGTAAAGAAGATGTTATCGTACACTAGCTGTTCCCTAGAGCATCAGATTTTGGAAATACTATGCCTCAAAAGCCAAACTCCATGTGATACTTGTCTTGTTGTGTGATCCTTAGTCACGCACAGATTAATGGGAAGCAATTGAAAACGACAACGGATAGACTCTTAAGAAAATTTACAAACCAAACCGAAAAGGAGCAAACGAAGAGAGGGTCTTCCAGCTTCGAATTAATTCAATTTGAGCTAAAGCAAAATTTTCTTTTCTTTTCGTTTCTTTTTTTTTTTTAAAGAAATTCCGAGAATATGCGCCGAAATGCTTTATTTTATTTGTAATAATTCGGAGCATACAAAAATTCTGAGAATTTGAAAAAAATTCGTCAAAATCTGTTTTTTATGAGAAAAATGTAGACTTGAAATTCTCATTGGAAACAATGAGGCAATTAAAAGCTTTACTGAAAGAGAAATCTAAATGAAATTTAAAAAATGAAAATAATTTCTCTTATTACACGAACGGTTAAAGTAATTACCCTAAAATTCCCATTATATTTAGGGGAAGCAAATACACTCAGTCATAAGTGCGTTTGAAGAGTCGAGTATCCCTTTTCTTTTCTTTAATAAAGTAAAGAGAAATATTTTCAATAACATTAGCCAGGGGAAAAATGTAATAAAATGCCGAAATTTGCAGTAAAGGCTCGAAACAATGAATATTTTTAGACATATTTACGATATTAGCTTAAGAGAGGGATCTTAAGCTTGAGATTATCCTTAGATTCGATGAATATAAAGCCTTTTGCGATGCTTCGATTTATTGACAAGTGTTTGCGATAAAGGCGTTTTAAGCAAATTGTTTCTCTCAATCACTTTGCCAATGCAGCCTACTGAGACTATACACATTACCTTCCTTCGTTATGGAACGCATAACGCATACGTCCACAAAAGAAACAGAAAATTACTTTGATTGGATTGAGTTTTACAGGTGCATGGAAGATGAACAATAATTTCTCGCTTAGATAATCATGAAGTCTGTGAGCATTTATTCCGACAACTACTAAAATTTCCCAATTCACTTATCCACGTAAGCGTACAACAACTCACGGCGATGATAATAAAGATGATAAGAGCTGATAGCGTGTAAGGATCGTAAAGTTTGCCACTTCGGCTTTTGCTAGTTCTCTTTAATACGAACAAGTAAAGACGCTATAACGAGAGAACCGAATGCACACATGAAATACGCTAAACGGCTTCGCCTAACGCAATTATTCATTAAAGGTTATTTTGAGAGAGGTCGAAAAAGTAGTTCGATGTAAACTATTTTCAATGGTGTTTGTCCACACTAGCGTTCGGTGTAACAAATTCCATCAAAGTATCTGAAAAAGTGTAGGTTGTACTATAGGTTGAACACAAGGCAGACGAACGAACGGACAGACAAGGTGAGGGCGATTCCGGAAATGGTTTTGAGTACGCCAGCGTAATAAGACGTGGGATTGTCCCAAGTTTTTCTTCCTTCCATACTAAGTTTATCCTTATACCCTTGCAACGCAAGTAGTTTAGGGCATAAAAAGTAACCTGCATCTTGCACTGCACAACTTTAACAAAGAGTAATAGTTAGGTCGCTAACCAATGGAGAATCCTTGTAAAGCTATTTTGCAGTAATTATCATGTTTCATAGGAATAAAATGCTGAGAACATTTAATACATTTGCACATTGGGTCATGAAAAACCAATGTGTGGTACAAAGTTGGACTTGAGAGAGGTTCAGCTTTTATTACACTAACCGATTCAATATTACTTTCTCTTCGTCTTGTTTTCTTGTGTTCTTTGAGATAATTTGGTCAAATTTAGTACATAGACATGTTTCAGTTCATGGAAAGAAGCTATGGAACATGGTTCGAATCGGAACACTTTTTCGATTATTTTCCATACGACAATTAACTTGGAAAGGTCGCTATATGCGTAACTAGATTAAGTGAGTCTGTGTAGAGTATTTCATGGATGGGTGTGTCCCACTATAGTGTCTTTATTTGTTGTTACAAGGTTTTTACTTATGATACGTATAATAAAATCGTATTTCGATATTTGAGTGCATGATGCATGATGCAAATGCATTCATTGTATTTTAGCGCTTAAGTTATAGTTGAACTCATTGGTTGCTAAACGTTTTTCTAAAGGCATTTAATTAGACTCATAATTACCTGGAAAACATGTCATATTTTGCAGTTGATATCGTTTAACAAAATGCTAAAAAATTTTTAAAGATAAACTGAGAAATATGTTGCAAACATCTTTTAGAAGAGAAAGTTAATGCCTTTTGCTAAATGCAGTTAATAGCAAACAAAAAAAAAAAACAAACAAATTTTGAAGATAGAAAGTCTGTAAAGAGAATGAAAAGCTTTAACATCCTTAGAGAGACAAATGCACAGTAATAGCAGTGATACGTTGAACATATGACAATAATGATGACCTATACTAGAAAAGTCGCATTAGAAATTATGAATGAGAAAATCAAATGAAAATTACTTCCGACAAATTCAAGAGCGATAGATAAGAGGAACTAACAGTTTTGCAAATAAGAAGAAGAAGAAGAAGAAAAAATTAAGAGTAATATTTTGACGAAAATATAAAGAGAGAGAAAAAAGAAAGAGAGAGAGTGAAAATTTTTGAACTTTTCTTTTTGAAACGTAAAGGACTCGTGAATTGTACGGTGCTAAGGAGTCATCGTAGGGTTTCGCTGGAAAACCAGGTAAAATTGAGAGTAAAGCTTTTTAGTCGTTTAACGATAACGTTGGTGCGTGGTTGTGCTCGTTAATCAGTAACGCTCGTTTACGTTTCTACCAAAAAGTTCTATATAAATTTTGTATAGTTTTATCCATACTTCGGCAAATACTATACTATATATATATATATATATGTATATATATGTAGATAAACGAAAAAACATAAAAAAAAAAAAAAATTGATATTAACAGATTTCAAAAACACAAACACCATAGCAGTAAAACAAAAAAATAAATAAATAAATAATAAAAACAAAACGACATTCGAAAGCTAGTAATACTTGCGTCCACATTAACCGATAACTAACTCTTCCCAATCGCCTTTGTTTCATTCATTAGCACAATGATTACGGTATCAGGAAATGAAACAACCAGTCATAAAGTGCGTGATAATTGCTAATTTGTCATCACGTTTCGGTGTATATGCCGAGTCGTTAAGACCATTCGCACACACACATATATATATATATATATATATATGTAACACGTGGTTTTGTGGCTACACATTAGTGAAAACTCTATTTCCGTATTGCGTTCCCGAGCGAATGTAATTCCTCCTTGCAACGTTCATTGTTAGTTACGCTACTTTTTGTTTACGTCTGTGTCATCCTTGTAATAAAGTGCTTTTGTGGTTTTGCTTAGACGATGTTTTATTTTCAAACGATTGTTGTTTATGCGTGAATAGACCTGCTGCAGTGCTTCGGTTCTACGCATATAAATTTTTAGTAAAGATTAAGTGCACGAGTGTTGGAAATGCAATGAATATGCTTTGGTTATATTTTATGTGCCGATAGGGTTATTATTTTATGAGTGAATAACTGCTGCTGCTGCTGCTGCTACGGTTTTGTGTCTAAAAGAGAAACTTAGAAGCAAGTTTAGCATGGAATCTAAAGTGCGATTAACTCGTAATTACACAAAATGGATCTTTCAAAATTATATGCTAAATGGATTACACTAGATACAGTTTAAGAATTTATCAACCACGATGAAATGAATTATTCTGATCATATAAGAGAAAGGTGAGTTATTGATTTGATTGAAATTAAATAATTTTGTTAATCAATATTTTTATATCCACTACCGAGGAAGAGTGGTCTGCTCATAATGTTTGCAGCGCCCAAAAGAAAGTTTAAGAGACCCCATTAGTTATATACAATCTTGATTAGCGTAAAATAATGAATCGATTAAGCCATATCTGTCCGTTTGTATGTGGGTGTAGGGCGTGTGTTGTTGACCACTCTCCGCGGTCGCAAAAATGAAGATATCGACTATAGCTTTATGGCTAAAAAATATTTCGATTATTTGTCTTCATTCACAGAACGTACAAAGGTAAGGGAGAAAGCTGTTTTAATGAAAAATGTTACTTATAGCTAATGTCGACAAACCAGGTTCCCCTGATACTGGATAAAATTCGACATAGTTAACTTCTCCATTTGCAGCAGTATGTATATTCATTTACATTTGGTATAGCGGGTAGTCCACCCGCGGTTTATCCTGACACCAGGATCCAGGTACCACAGGTTCTAGTCTTCACATAATGTAGACTTTTCGCTAGATCTATACTATTATAAAAATGTTGTCAGCATAAATATTATATGACCTATTAAGATATGGTGGCAATACTTACTTCAGTTACATTGCTTTTCTGAATATAATTTCAAGTATTATATATATGTGTGTATATATTCACATACCACTATTCTATTTAGTTTATCTAGTTGTAGGGCATTACATACGCAGGATTTTAGCCGACCACACCATGGAATCATTGCCTGAGCTAAGGACAAGTTTTGAGTGGGGCTGGCAGACCTTATTTATTTGAGACAAAACGAAATTTAACGATTATCGTTATGCATACAAATTTAAAAAGCAAAAATACGTACACACGCGGTAAATAATGTGTAAACACATTACCCATCACTCAGAACATATAATGTATAGTACGTTTTACGACATTGAAAACTTTGTGAGGAGAAAAAATCCATCGAAAGATGGAACGAAACTTTAATATTTTTATGTTTTCCACTCGATAATTAATCATATTCTCATGTTATGTTATGATATGAAAATATCTGGGGAATAAGAAATTCTTTCTGTTCTATCTTCTTGAAGGGATGGTTGATAATTTTTGTTAGGGAATCTTTAATGCCTTAAATGTTTTGTGATTGAAACGAAAGAGTTCAAATTCTGCAACCATGTGACCCCATAACATTAGCTAAGGAAAGCAGTTCACTTTTTTATTTATGTTACCCCATTTTCCCCCCACTTTGTCTCGGTCATAATGCTGGGATCAAACGGATGATCTATCGCTTTGTTACCCGACACATTTTAAAGAAGTTATTTCGCTCTTGCTTATGCAAGTTTGATTCAGAATCATTTTCTTCTGAGCGTCTTTGCCAGGCTCTCCGTGTTCAACTGGTAGGTAGGATATTTTGATGAAATTCGGTAGAGTGGCCTGGTTTGGCCCAAGAATGAAGGCAGATTGGAACGGAGGATTCAATGCCTTACTTCAAGAAAGTCGTAATATGAAAAAATTTCGTATCGTAATTCGACATTCTTTGTTGAGGTGAAAATGGATTGGTTGGATCAATTTTATAACCGAGGAATAGTATGCCTTTAGATGGTACATAAGCCTAATTGTTAATATGCTATGGGTTCACATGAAAAGTAGGGAAACAAGGTTTTGACTTATCATCACAAAAAAATAAATGAAGATTTATCGTAGGTGAAATGCTTTACCGTAATTAGCGACTGTCCGATTACAATTTTTTATTATAATATTTTTTCAAAAAAAAGAGAAGTTTTACGGCAGTTTTGTTAGCAAGAGTTTCCCAATGCTTACCGGAGAATATAGTTTTAAAGATGCAGATAGATGTTCAAAATGCCATCGGGAGCTAGAGCTGGAGCTGGAAAAATACGGTTTCGGGAAAAAACCATTTCAAGCTGGATCAACCGACATCTTATTTACGCCTTCTTTTATCAAAGTAAAACAATTCATGTCATATTTTTGTGAGGTAGCCACAGTAGATAGAACTATAGAGGGTAAGTTGCCAATTTATTCTTTTCACAAACACGCAATAGACAAGAAAGAGAAGGAATCTCGGAAGAAGTGGTATTTTCATGCGGATTTACCGACCTATCTTTATGTCGGCTTTATGTAGAAGCACTTAAGATATATCCACCTTTTACTATATCGATCACTCTCTTAATCAATCTCAGCTTGTTCATCCTTTCGTCCATTTGTCCGTTTGTTCGTCTATCCGACTGCCCCTCTCGTTTTCTTGTGTTCAAGCAACAGGCTGCAAATTATTGAGATATTTTGACGAAACTTTGGTACACTGACATGTTTTGGACCAAGGACGAGCGTTACAGAAAATGGCTGAGACCGCACTACTCTTCCAACCGCTTTCTATATAGCACCCTGTTTGGAAAGATTTTATGAGTAACTGTATTAAGCGAAGTGGTGTAGGGTATTTGACGGTTAACCCTGCCCCACTATAGTGTTTTTAGTTCTTTAATCTCCAATTGATTTTTGTATTTGTCAAGTTAACAAGATATCTGTTATACGGCTCTGCAGTCTATTCGTAAGATCAAGATTTTCGTTTGCTTTCGGAACGAGAGAGCTGAACATCATTTTTCTGATCATTTTTGCGTAATTACGGAAGCGTTTAAACCAATATAAAAAGAAGAGACTAAAAATATCTCGATGTGATTATTCCTTCGAAGCTTTTTAAGCAATTGTGGGCATGCTGGTGGCATTGTTGTGGTCTCTTAGATGGCCATTGCAAACACTTGAAGTCAGAAGAAGCATGGTTGGGTGCAAAAACATTTCAAAAACTTGTTTACCGATTAGCGCGGGCTTCATTCACAAATCATAGGCACACATATTTTAACTAAAAAGTTTTGCAGCGTGAAAAGTGCGGCCGATAGAACGCATATAAGTAACTAACTCACTTCGCTCATAAGTTACGTCAATCAGGAATGCTTAAATTATATCAAATACACTTTATGGCAATTTTAACCTCAAAAGACAAAATTCATGTGCGAATATAGTTACAGGAAATACAAATTTATTTATAGCACTGCATAGCTATATTTTTCCTTTTTTTCTTATATATTCTTTTTTAAGCACAATACGCCAACTCTCCGGGAAAGAAATGTATCTTTCTAAAATGTTGTAGGTTTTGGTTAAGTTGTAGAAATTTTCTTGTTTTAATTTTTTGCAATTACACTAAGACCTTGCTTATCTACGAAACACAAGTGAGAGATTAAAAGAAAAAGCCAAAAATAATAAAAACTGTTAAGAATGAAAGAAAAAGTAATAGGAAAACTTTTTGGTCTATAGCAAGAAACAAAAACACCAATCAACTAAATTTATAGCAGATTTTTTCAGGGTTTTTAAATAAATAATAAAATATTATTGTTCGAGCAAACAAAACAAGCAGCATAACTGTGTTCATTGTTGTAGATGATGCAGGTATTTTCAGTCAGCACGAAAGTAGTAGAAAAAGCAAAGGTAAAGCTTGCTATGATGTTACGATCAGGGATTAGAGCCCTAAAAGTACTCTCGTCCGATTAGAAGTAGATACGAAAATCTAAGTTGGTTTTCCAATAACTCGAATCGCCCTCATCTGACGATTTCTTGCTGATTTTTACATATCGATGCCCCAATGAAAATCAATTTGAATCATTGGCTCTGTGAAAAGTTTCTGCTTCCTGTGGAATCCGGGCGAGTTGTCAAACTTTTTATTTATTTCAGGAATAACTCTATAGCAAGAAGCCATGGCGGCCATTGTCAACGGCTACTGCAGTTCAAGTACTTCCGCTGAAGGAATAAGTATTTGCGTTGTTTTTTTTTTATTCTGTTCCCATCTCATGTATAGCTTTGCGTTGCTGGCTTAGTGAATAAGGGAATCGAAGACTAAAATATTCCCGTTGATTATATTTTTAGATTTCCATTTCACGTATTGATTTGCGTTGCTGGCCTAAGCAAATTCGCCATCGCCAGTTTTTTCGATGCATCCATTGACGTTATACGAAGCGCCTGGCAGTATTTTTTGTAGCCGACAGCATATAAGTAAACAAGTTCAAGCCTCTGCTGGACAATAAGTCATAAAAAGCTCACAAATGCAAAGAAGAAGCCGTTCATGGGCATCATACTCTCACTATTCCTTGCCTTTCTGGATTTTATTCGCTGAAGAAAGCCAGGAATTGTATATGCCGTTACGGCCTCTTTCAAGCATATTCATTTGATTGTTCATCAGGACAAATTCAAAGATTGCGGACTGATGTCAGTTTATGTAATTTTTGCCGTAATCGACTTCAAGGCTATTTCAAATCTTATCTGTTCCAAACGGCGGATTTTGATACGTCTTAAGGTCGTATGACATAAACTCAAATTTGCTCCACAAAAAATTACGGGATTTTATTAAAAGAATCCATAGAAAAGTGTGCATGAGAAGTATGAGAAAAAGATGAGAAAGTTTGCAAGTAACTGGAACTAAATGATGAAATGATTAACTAACTAATGCTGACTAATAATATTTAATATATTAAAGCAGTTGTTCGCATTATCTCCCTCTGCTTCCCTTATACTTTCTTCTTAAGGTCTTACAAATTGTTGTAAGAAATTGAGTATACTTGAGGTTTTTTAGGGGGAAAGCAACAAAAAAAAAAAAAAAAGAAGAGAAAACGAAAGACCAAAAAAGCCGAAGTTTTGCTGACCATAAACGAAGAAAACCAATTAGAGATACTGGGAGTTGAGAAATTTTATATAAATTTATGTTTAGCAAGTTTTACGAGGCATAAAGAAAATTTGCAGGAAATAATGGAATGAAATGCAAAAAAAAAAAAGAAAAGAAATGAGCAAAAAACGAGAGGGAGGGAAGAAGATGAAAAATAAGAAGAAGAAAAAATAAAAAAAACAAATAAATAAAAGAAAAACATAATTACAGTTATTAAGGAATGAATTTATTATAACATTATTTTAGGAGAAGAAAAAAAAAAAAAAGAAGCAGAG